CTATAAAATATATAGTTCAACTTTTTTTAACAAAACAGGTGTTTAACTATTCCATTGGTATCCAAAATACCAACTTGAAATGTCTTTGAGAATGCATGTCCTTGAGAAAATATCAATTGAAAGGTCTCTAGCAATGCATACTTGTAATGATATTTCTGTTGTTAAAGGTGATGGTCAAGTTATTTAGCATCAACAGGCCTTCAACTATTTCACTGGTATCCACAGTAGCAAGATCCAATTCTCCCAGTACTTCTTTGAGGCAATCTTCAAAGGCTGTTAATGATTTCTTCTTGTCTTCTTGTAATACGATCAAATTGGCAAAGAGGTTTGTTGGGCAATTTGACGCTCTCATCATATGTGAACAATGATTACATGTTACAATAGTGGCTTGAATTTGGTTAACGCGTTTTTTGCAGTTACAGCAGGTTTTGTATCTCTCGATTTCAGAAATGGAGTGGATAAATGGAACTCTAATCGCTTGTTCACTTGTTAGTTGAGGAATTTCTTCTGTATACTGTAGTGATGTGAATCGCACATCATGTGTCTGCTTGATCAGATTCAAGGTATTCATGGTAGCTGTTAATTTCTTGGCGTTATTCCAGTATGTAGTAGATAAACCRGTAAAAGTATAGGCCGAGTGTTCCTTAATTTGCTCTAGTTGAGTGTTCMATAAATCAAGTTGGATTGTGTCCGTGTCATCCATAATCAGTACTTCGGCGACTGTGTTCACTTTTCCTTGAGCAGTGGTGACTGTTTTCGATGAGTAGATTTTAACTACTTTGGCAGTGACTGTAAGGTTGTTTTCCTCAAGACATGAGTCGTTGGTCAAGTCTTCCAGCTTTGTGGGTGGGGAATACACTGGTTCAGCATACWGGAAGTTGTACTCTAGATTACCAGGTTGTGTTAAAATCGTCTTGTCATTGATTACAATCGTGSTTTGGTCGGTTGACTTTATATATCTAGAAATCTTTATCGGCGATCTTGTGGCCTCTTTTTCCTCTAGGATTKTCCTTTTATTTTTAGAATAACATATCGCAGGCTGTGTAGTATTGGATGTTTGCAGAGTTAGGGTCGTGTAGTCTAAAGTGTTCTTCTTATTCCTTTTTAAAGGAGAGACATTCTGTACGTAAGCAATCATGGTCTACCGGGAGTCTTAGTAGGTGTAGTAGGTTGAGTTTGAAGAGAAGTAGGTTGAGTTTGGTTCTCTGTAGGTGGAAGAGTTCTTTAAAGACTGCCAGGTTGAACTGAACTGGGAGGTGTGGAACTTAGAAGTGTCTTGGATTGCTCTTTATTCTTCTTTGGAGGCATTGTACCGATAGTATTTACACAAATTCTGCAAGTACGCTAGTCTGGTAGTGAATACTTGAGAGATTTGCGAGTATCATTGCTTTTATACAGTGTATGACGTACTTTTATACAGTGTATGACGTAGCAATAAGGATCGAAATCCTCCAATAAAATTGCATTTTCATGCAGTAAGGGTTCGGTTAATAAACTTACCTCTTAGAAAACGAGTCAAAAAATTGGCGCTCAAAATCAAGTGACCAGCCTACGAAGGCTAAGGATCGAAATCCACCAATGAAATTGCATTTTCTCAGATGGTTCGGTTAATAAACTTACCTCTTAGAAAACGTGTCAAAATATTGGCGCTCAAAATCGCGTGACCAGCCTGAAAGTGACGAAACTAAGGATCGAAATCCACCAATAATATTGCAGTATTCATTCCAGAAATACTATATTTTGATTGGCTAAAATTAAAGAAAAAAATGGCTACCTCGGCGACTGTCTACCTCGGCTCGTGGTTGGAGTTGTTGTTTNTTTTGAGATTTTTCCACTGCCTGACGTTTAGTTCCAGAACTAAACGTCAGGCAGTCGATTTTTTTGTGAAAAATCGTCGGTTCAATCGTAATTTCAATTAATACAACAAGGGAATGCACTAAAGACCGAAATAATACTATTGACAAGTTTGTATAGTCACAAGCCCCGGTCACAAGCACGGCACCGCCTGACGTTTAGTCCCGGAACAACTTTAATTTCAATTAATAGCACAAGATAAATGGAATAAAGACCGAAATAAGCTAGGTCTTGGGCAAAAATTAGCAGGGGGAAATAGGGTGACCAACCATAGTATGGGGAAGTGAAATTTTCTACTGATATTAGACGGACAAAATATCGTGACCCTCCCCGTCCCCCCTCAACCATTACCAGAACAATTTTTCATTGCTTCCAAGCATCCARTGAATGGTGCAGGGCCTATRATTGGACCATTCTTTCTTCATTTTGAAGGGATAAGGGTTATGATATTTGATATGCAGTTGATAAGGACATTTAATGCATCTATTGTTCACTTTATACATTTGATATACTTTGTTTGTCTTTGTTGTTGTGGCTATTGAACCAAATAAAACACTTTTTTTATCTGTTTATACTGTGAACCAATTATTTTTATCATTAACTGCCCATCAAATATCCTAATAATTATCCCTTCAAAATGAAGAAACAATGGTCTTATTATAGGCTGCTGGGAGAATGATAAATTGTTGGTAATGTTTGAAGGGGGACAGTCTGATACAGAAAGGGTTAGAAAATTTCACTTTCACAACTCTGGTATGTCTGTATTTTTCAAAAGTTTGACTGAATTAGTCCCAGAACTAAACGTCAGGCAGTCGAAAAATCTCAAAGTGCCGCGTCGGTTGGTGTATACAAACTTGTCGAACAGTATTATTTCGGTCTTTATTACATTTCTCTTGTTGTATTAATTGAAATTAATTAAAGTTGTTTCGATGATTTTCGAAAAAAAAATTCGACTGCCTGACGTTTAGTTCTGGGACTAAACGTCAGGCAGTCKAAAAATCTCAAAGTGCCGTGCTTGTGTTTGAAACTTGTCAAACAGTATTATTTCGGTCTTTATTGTATTTCCCCTGTTGTATTAATTGAAATTACGGTTGTTCCGACGATTTTTAAAGAAAAAATTCGACTGCCTGACGTTTAGACACTCCGTTTTTTGGTTAGTTGCATACTATCAAAATTAATAAATACCTCCTTCTAAAAATGAACGATCATATCTTGTGCTTGTGTTGGTTTGTGTGTAGTATCTCCACCCATAATTTTGCATCCCACAAGGGCCATTTTCGAACCCGCAGATACCTTTCAAATAAGAATAAGTTTAGAGTAAATTTTATTTAACTTGTAATGAGATGTTTTTGCAGATCGTATTGTTACCATTTGTTTTTGCGCACTTTGGATTCTCATCTATGCAACTGTTTCTGTGGTATTCGTTGGAGCTCCCTAAAATAGCAAAAAGCATGCTTNGGCTACTCGAGCTATACATATTGAAGTTTCATCAGATTTATCAACCGATTCCTTTGTCCAAGCAGTTACTAGATTTGTAAGCCGTCGTGGCCCACCAAAGGAGATGTTCAGCGACAACGGTACGAACTTCCGAGGTGCGGAAGCTGAAGTTAAAGAGGCGTTAAGAAGGTGGAACCAAGACAGAATTAGAGAGAAGTTAAGAATGCAAGGGATCGAGTGGCACTTTAATGCTCCAGCTGCAAGCCACACAGGAGGAGTGTGGGAAAGGATGATTCGCACTACCCGGAAGATACTTCGAGCAATAGTTGGAAAGAAGCTGCTCGATGACGAAACTCTTGCAAYAGMACTTTGTGAAGTCGAGAAGATAATCAATGATCGTCCACTAGTCAAGGCATCAAGTGACCCTAACGACTKAGAAGCTCTCACYCCAAGCAGTTTGCTTCTCCTCAGACAAAATAGCAGTGYTTCTCCTCTCACTGAACAGACTTCTGTCAAGTTAAAGGAAAGACGAAGKKCAGCGCAGGAGATTGCTGATTCCTTCTGGGATCGATGGATTGCTGAGTACCTTCCAACCCTACATGAACGCCAGAAATGGTTACGGCCGAGAAGAAACATTTCAGAAGGCGATCTTGTCCTCGTATCAGATGATAACGTAGCGCGTGGAAATTGGCCATTAGGAGTTGTGACGGAAACTTTCCCAGACAGCAAAGGTTTGGTACGACACGCCCTGATCCGTACAGCGAAAGGAACGTATAAAAGGAACATCCAGAAACTTTGTTTATTAGAAGCAGCAAATTAGTTTTACTAGCCACTTCTTATGTTATTGAGATTTATATTTATACTAAAAGCTAGATTCAGTTCTTTGTTTTGCCTTTAGGCGGTTTCCTTAAGTTGACTTGTCGAGTACCACAATTTTTGTACGTTGAATCCTCTGGTTTTATTGTTACATTCTCTTTGCTTTGAACAATTTTTCACTCTTACATTCATNATAAATACCTCCTTCTAAAAATGAACGATCATATCTTGTGCTTGTGTTGGTTGGTGTGTAGTATCTCCACCCATAATTTTGCATCCCACAAGGGCCATTTTCGAACCCGCAGATACCTTTCAAATAAGAATAAGTTTAGAGTAAATTTTGATATTTAACGTGTACTGAGATGTTTTGCAGATCTTATTGTTACCATTTGTTTTTGCGCACTTTGTATTCTCATCTATGCAACTGTTTCTGTGGTATTCGTTGGAGCTCCCTAAATAGCAAAAAGCATGCTTATATACATTATATGTTAATGCAGTATAAAAAAGTGATGTATTCATTACTCTAGGTTTGTGTAGCTACTTCTTTGCCACCATTCAATCCTAAAGCGGTTGTCCTATTTCTTAGAATATTCATAAAATTRAACAGCGATGTATAWTTATCAACATCTGACAATTCTCGACAATTTGGATTTCCAATTTGATATCACATTTCGACCCACTTCGATTCTTAATGACTCAGCATATGCACCCAGAGATCAAGTGCGAATGATCGTTGCTTTGTAGACTTGCAGTACAATGTCCCTTTTAACATACTCATTTGACAGGATGAAGCTTCTGCTGCCTTAAGAGCACTTTGATTTCTTGTCTGTACCTTAGACTGATCTTCAAAATCATACAATAATTATCCTACGATAATTTCGKCGACTTTTTCTTGATTGCCAGAATCCTTGGATGTGACAAGCCTAGATMAGATTCTTGTAACTTTTCAGCTTTAATTTCAGCCGAGATTCTAATTTGAACGCAAATTACAATTACAATTTCCTTTGCATAGAGCACATGTTTTCCAATGGTAGGTACCCAGGACAAAAGCAGACTACACAAATGGAGTGGAGTAAAATATAATGATGTCCGTTCTTGACTAATGAATCTGATAGGTGCATTAAACATTGCATACATACAACATTCGGTTATATTATACGTCGTTTCTTCGCAAGACTTTTGACATTCTCCATCCATGCACTGGTTCTCGGGACATGGTCTTTCTGACAATTGGAAGACATTACGAAAATTCAATTACTTCTARACGCAAAATGTATTTTCAAAGTAATGGATTACTTACCACACCGACTTTCATCTTCAGCGCTCTTGCATTTTGGTTTTCCATTGCAAAGGTCAAACGTATGAATACATGATCCTTCAGAGCATGTAAACTGGCCAGTTAAACACGAAGAGACATTGGAATCATCTAAGCACGTTAAGTCATAATATTTGTCAACAGATTGTCATCGTTACACTGTATGATCTATGAATGTTTAGTGGGAAGCTAAAAAGAATGGCTGCAATAAGACAACACAACACAACAGGAGNGCTTATTGTTATTATAAAAATAAATGATGCTTATAAGCTTACTGAATCATATTCTGCGGAATGTTATTTACTATAAGAAGTGGTGATAATGGAAGAAKGACAAAACTGCTTGAATGCGTTTTCGCAACAGGATCTTAAACTTATCAAAGTTTGTATTCCTTGTTTCATAGTCTCAGACATTTAAGACTTATCGATTTCATTTTTCTTCTAGGAAAAAACAACTGTGTTTGCAGTTTAGAGGCCATCTCATAGTTTTTTTCMAATTTTGGTGAATATYTACARGACGATTGTTGGTTTATCCACTGCAGACTTGCATTGATATCTTGGATTMATTGTAGGCCTTTTCTTTGGTTTGGCATATTAAACAGACAGAGGCGACCTCATTGGCTTGTTATGATATTAAATTGACAACAGGATACATCATTATTATGTCATCATTTAGAATAGATTGTAGCTGATGGCCACCTTATTTGGTTTGCCATGATATTGACATCTGGTGATCTGAGTGGAAACAAAAATGAATATCAGGTAAAGGTATGATAAATATAAAAAGGATGACTATATATATGATATCAAAGAGGCAMGATTTTGCTGTAACTCCGAGTTTCGTGYWATGYACTCATCAGACAGTAYTTAAAGGGATCAGCTACTTCCTCATACGATTAAAAAGGATGACTATATAAGTTAATGACCACTTACCTAAAAGTGATAGTGTAATCCAATTCCATGTGGAAATACCCCCATTAGCTAGAAGGGTAATGTGAGTACGGCCCTCATTGCTGAGGGATTGCAGTGTTATGATTCAATTGTTTTAAGCTATCAATTATCCTGAGCTCTTCTTATTGATTTTATATTTTTCTAGGTTGACTGCTAATATTATAAGTGATTTAAGTAGAACTGTAAGATTATTATCATGGCTCACAGTGGCTTGGTAGAAAAATTTATTTGAATTAAGACATTTCAAACATTTGAAATAGTTTATTTGGCCTATTTTCAGTTTCCCGAAAGTCTATAAATTGTATTTGCTTTTTAAATCTTTGACCGTCTCACTTTCTAAGCACTTTTACCACTAATATTAGAGTTAGCTTTTCAACTAGCTAAAATTCATTTTATGGTGATATTTGGATACTAGAAGTATTTTGACAATAACAGGCACCCAAAGCATAATGGTGCAAACTGCACTTTTAATATATGTCTTAATTTAATGCCATCATTTTTGTTTAAAAATTCATTTTTGTGCTAATGAAACTTTAACTGCTTCGTGGTAGAGTAGTATACAGAGACTATGGATGTAGAAATATTAGTTAAGTCCGACATTTCATTTTTTATATAAACATGATCAAGTAAACTTCCTGATATARATGTTGGACCTTGAACTRTTTGTGTATAGCTTAGTTGTTCCATGACAATATTAAGTGCCTGGACTTCAGCATCATTAAGGTAGTTTAAATTGAAGTCACCCAAAACAATATCAATTTTGTWTCTGTTAAGTCTATTTTCTAGATTTTGGATATATTGATGAATATTGCACCCATTTTTTCGATACAGTAAAAGTATGTTGATGTTTAGTGATGGCATCATACTATGAACCACAGAAAATGATATTGCATTTATGTCATGAAAATGGTGATATTCTGTGATCTCAAGATGTGTTTTTAAACATAGTGCTAAGCTTGAATACCTATCAGATGTGTGGTCTTGCCTAAGTAGTTTGAAAGGATGTAGATTATTTTGTATCTCAGTATCATTAGTGGTAGGTAGTAATTGCGTTTCTGTAAAGCATATAATGTCAGTGTTGAATAGATTTGAGTYATGTTTTACATCAATGCTGTGTTTTTGCAATGACCTGCTATTTAGGAGACAAACAGTAATTATTGAATTTATRTTTTCCTGATATGTATTTGATGGTTCAAGGGGCAGTGTTTCTTGTAATCTCTGATATTCATTATGGACTCTTGGATCTGCTCTGACATGTTTATCTTGTATCTGACCTAAAGTGTAGAGACCACTTAAAGACCTTGCACGACTTAAGGCAACATAAACTTGTCCATAATTAAATGACCTTTGTCGGAATAGCTCAAAACTAACAACAACTTTGTCTAAGCTGAGACCCTGAACTTTATGAATAGTTACTGCATAAGCTAATGTGATAGGGAATTGCACTCTTTGAATTTCTGGGGAAGATGGTTTGCCTGGTCTTATTTTGATTTTAGCTAGAATCGGTTCAATGGGTACAACATTGTGCTCTTTAACAAATTGATTTGTAGATTTAGTGATAATAGTTTTACCTGCTTGAACATCATCAAATTTAACATAAATAACAGTCGGTTTTTGTGTGTTCATGTTGACCTGGATTTTCATTATAGTACCTATTTGACCATTGATGAGTCTATCTGCAATATCAATATTACTTGTTAGCATAACTCTTGCACCTTCTTTAACATGTATGTCTTTATCTAGTCCACCAGTATCAGAACGTCCCTTTGATAACACTCTATCAATATCAGTTTGAGATACATTTGGAGGATACTGGTCTGCTGCTCTAAGATGAAACATTTCTCCAGATAACTGAGTTAGTTTGTTATTATTGTGTTCATCGACAGGCTTATTTTCTGCATATATATGTATAGCATCTGAAAGGTAATCCTTATCCTCTGGGTCTATTTGTCTTGATTGAATCTGTTTAATGTCATGCTCAGTTTGGGAAGCAGTACGAAATCTGTTTAACATTTCAACAAATGGCTGGTCTTTTTTTGAACGCATATTATCGATARGTTTTGTCATTCTAAATAGATGCCAGGGGTGACACAGGTTATATGTATCAATAGTGAAAYTCTCAAATACTGTTTTTTTCTTTATTGGTKGTAGTTGGTAAAAATCTCCTCCTGCAATGATACTTATCCCAGCAAATAGCTTAGAGGCAGGTGTATCAAATATCTCTTTTAATCTTTGATGGATATGGAGTAATGTGGTATTTCCAACCATAGAAATCTCATCAACTATTATGAGTCTCAGTTCAGATAAGACAAGTCTCAATTGTGTTCGGTTTTGGTCTGAGAGTGGTTTTAAAGTAGAGCCTGCTTCTTTTGGAATACCTAAAGCTGTATTAATAGTAGTGCCATTAATATTGATAGCGSCAACTCCAGTTGGGGCCATTAAAAGAACTGTTGGTAATTCAGGATTAACAGCAACATGTCTAAATGTTTTGGTAACAGTATGATATATTGTTTTTATCAAATGACTCTTGCCAGCTCCACCACCTCCAGTTAAAAAAACATAGATTTCATCAACATGTTGTGGTTTAATACAGTTAATATTTTTGACTTTATTTCTACACCAAGTGAGAACATGAGTAAATGTATACCGCTGTCTTTTATTTAAAGATCTGACAGAATGTCGCAGTTCATCATCAGTCATATCTGAAGGTTGTGTATACCGTGATATTGCCGAGGCTTGATGATTATTAGACTCAGGTGTTTGAGACAGTTGTGATGGTAATTGTTCATTGAATGATTCTTCAGGATTTGATTGGTCTTGTAACTGACAGTGTATATCATCATTTTTTTATATCAACATATTTCATCAATATGTTGTGATTCTATTAAATTGTCAGTAAGAATGTCTGGTTGTGCATCAATAGTCTCTTGGCATTCGTTTTTATAGTCCTTGTAATAATAAGCTACAAATTGTGCTAGACATAGATTGTTCACAGACTGGATAATGTTAGGCCTTTTAGTATAACGCTCTATTATGTTTGACTTATACACTTCTGTACTATCATCATYAAGTTCTTCAAGTTCTTTTTTTGATTTTGCCATTCTTATCCTATTATCTGGTAAGCCAGTACTAATAAAGATTGCAGCAGGAAATATTTTCCTCAGCCAGAGTTCAGGCATGCATCGGTATACTGCTTCCTGAGAGTTAACTTCTCTAGTAGACAAAAATGCAGCTCCAACTTTTCTTAATCCATCTCTCACATTCATATTGGCAGCTTTAGCCTCTTTTGCAGCATTCATAATAGCTTGAGAACATTCTGTCTCATCTTTAATGAAGTATGAACACACATATGTTACACACTTATAGTGATTAAAAACTGGCTGTAAATCAACATTAGCAGCAAATCCTTTWATTCCGGCTTCAAAGTAATTATTAATAAAACAGCTGTTTATTGGTCTTTTTAAATGTAATTCATRGTCTGAGTCTGCTGAAATAGATAAAGCACTGTAGTTAGTACTGGTCTTCTGTTATACCAACAGAGTTGAAAATGTCTGATTCTATGAGTGTAGAGTCATAGTTTGATTTACTTGGATTAAGTACATCATCTATCTTTTCTTTCACTAATGTAAGAATTTGTTTTCTTTTTTCAAGAKTACTGTTTTTTATGTCTTCGCTTATTTCATTAGATAAGGGTTCGGCGACAATGGTCCTATCTGTGAAAAATTGACCAAAATTGAATCTGCAGCGGATATTCCTGTATTTTCTACAAGTTTTAGAGTSACTGTGCTTTTGATAAGTTTTGACTAATTCATGTAAATGAGGATCTTCATTCTCATCTGGTAGGTAGGCCTGTACATGCTTATCAATGAAGTCAATGTCTGCTTGTTTATTATCTTTATTTAACTTTGGGCAATCTGAAGTCCAAATTAAAGCATGTAAATAGGGTGATCCTCTCATTTGAAATTCAATGCGCAATGCATAGTAAACTATTTTACCAATTGGGTTTGCATTAGATAGTAGAACTTCTGTAAAAAATGTTTCAACTCTGTATTGGAAGTGCTTAGCAACAACTACAGGATTCAGGTTTAACATTGAACATTTCTCATTRTAMGAKAGGGCATCTACTTCTTCATTCGAGATGTTTTTTCCTTGTGTTCTGGCTATAATCTGAAATAACTCAGGCCATCTCAGGTCAGCACAAGATAAAGTCATAAACCAAGTTGGSATTCCAAGTTGTTTAACCATGGCAACTACCTCATACATAAATTTCTGCCAGTAAGGAGGAGTTCCTGGAATTTGTCTCAAAAATAAATAAGCTTGATCTTGGGAAATGAGATTCTGCARACCTTGTGCATTAGATCTTAATTGAGAGGCAGAAATGGGCTGACTTTTTATTTTTTTCAGGGCAACATAAATGCTATCAGACACTTTTTTTTTGCTCAATGACAAACTGTGCAAAGAACAGATAWTCTGGATTTGTAGCAAAGCGTCCACTGAAGTGCAGTAGTCTAGCATTGAAGTATTTAACCGGTGATAATTTAATGTCACGATCAATGTGGTAACCAAATTTACCTTCAGGAAATAATACAGGGAATGCCATTTCTTCACAATGTTTATCAGTCATGAATGACACAGGGTGYCTGTTTTCACCTGGTGCAATTTYATGTATTTCATTCCCTAGTGCTACKTGCTGATTTTCCTCATCTATTGCYACTTGATAATCAGGTATGACAGACTGCAAACAGGTTTCACTTGTTGGTGTTCTATGCTGATTCATTGGATCATCCTTCTCATCATTATCTTCATTTTCATCATCAGTTATGTTTCTGTCTGTACTTTCTTCATTTAACAATGAATCATTACATTCAYTATCAGAATTGTCATCATTATTTTCATCTGGGAATGTATTTTGTTGCATTGACATGAGATAATCATTACCATTTTGTATATCAATTTCTAAATCAGCATACAATGGATTATTTATTTTCAGCCAATGAAGAGCAGTAAATATCAATTCAGGCCTCACAGGCTCATAGTAAACATRTCCTCTAAACTGGAGTTTTCTTTTAAGTTTCAACATGATAATACCAGATCTTTCRGGTGCACGAGGCAAAACATTACAGGTTTGAACACATTCAACGGGTACATTGCAAATTKCTCCTTTAATCTTTCTTTGCCTTCCTTTTGGCATTATTACTATTTTTTCAARTACTATTCTTTGTGCAATTAGAATCTGTTCAAGTTTCCSTAAAACAGCTAGTTCTGGGGGTATTTCATCTACTTGTAATTTGTTGTATACAGATTGACATGGTATTTGCTGTCTGAGCACTTTAGAATGACATGTTTTGCATATGTATTGCTTATCATCAAATGATGTCTTTCCTGTGAACAGGTTACTAAGTTGATTGCTCATGTATTTATGCTCATTAAATGTAATAACAGTTTTTTTGTATAGCAATCTATTACACACATTACATATATAGTATGGTCCCTCTCTTATTTTCTCTTGAAAATTTGTAATATAATGGCCCAAATCAGTAGTAGCATTCAAAGAATTATACCGTGTTTGTCTGTAATTGCGCATGCCAGATAACAGATTTTCTTTTTTTTCAGCATCCATAGAGTTATAATACATTTGATGACTTCTTGTGCGTTTCTTTGACAAGCATTGTTTCTTTGCAGGTGGCTCCATATTTGCATAATCCAATTTACGACTTTCAGCAATAGCTTGCTTTTTTTCCATCTGATTTGTGTTTCCTCAAAAATGTTTTGTCTGGTACAATTTGTCATCTGAGAGGAGCATAGTATGAATCTAATATGGTAAGTATCAAATTGTTTATAAGTTGCAGATCTCTCTGTGATAATATCAAGTTATGTGGATCGCTTACTTTTTCAAATATTTCAAAAATGCAATTATCATTTAACAGTACAATGTAATACTCAATGRACATTGATTTTTGATGAAAAATGCACCCTATGCAATAATTAGACATCCATACCAAAAATCCTGTATTGTTTTTTGTATTATCATCGATCAATTTCTCTAATGCTAATGTATTAACATCAGACAAATTTCCATGTATTTCAATATTAAGAGCAATATGGACTTCTGCATCATATATTTGAATTTYTTGTGGTAGGCTATTGAAGGTAAACCTAATATCTAGATCTCCATTAAGTGTGGCTAGCTTTTTCCCATGATCAGAAATAGAGTCCAAAGTATCAGATTTCYAGTAGTTACAGGGTTTGATAATAGAAAAACATATACAATAAAATAATATAGCATGAATTGTATTGATAGATGTATTGCTGCAATCAGGTGCTTTATTATTCTCGGTGTTATAGGTTGTAGSATCATTTGGTCTACACTCAAGCATTTCTTGATCATGAAGATCAGCATTATTAGTATTCATGAGACATAATTTAGAAATATTGACACCTCTAATTTCAAATGAAATTTTTGATCTGTCACTTCCATCGTAGAAACTCTTAAAGTAGTTGATTAGTGTGTTAGAACTATCAATGTCTAGAAGTACACATGTACCTTGAGGATTTGTTAAACCAAACAAATCTCTGGAATGAGAATCAAAAATCTTGAATTGTCCATTACCTTTGTAATAGACAGCTATGGTGTTACATTGAATAGTCATCAGAAACATGTTATAGTTTTCTTCCAATAAAATTTGTATAGCATTGCCCAATGGCATACAAAAGTCAAAATCAATGCGTGATCCTATATCATATAAATTACCAGTATAGGTGTTACTGTATTGCATATCATAATTATGGTCAAAGATATTGAATGTATTGAATGCAGTTCTGTTAATAGCAAGAAGTCTTGATTGTATAGTCTGGATAGAACTGCATATAACTCATTCCCAACATTCATTATTTGTTCTAGGTCTACAGTAGAACTGATTGCAAGATGGTGCTTGTTGTAAATTAATGCACTAAGTGACATAGCTACACATTGTTTCCCTGCATTTAACCCAAACAATCCCATATTACCTTGAGAATATCGAGCACAAATTGTTTTGCTTGGATTAATCACAGTGGGCTGGGGTCCTGGGTTTTTTTCTACGTCTCTACTTAAAGTAAACTTACAATGATTGACTTTATGGCTAAGGCTTTTATATGTGCAGGATAAACATTTGTGAACTAAAGTTTTAAAATTGTGATTTATCCAGATCCTTTTACGATATTTTACGTTGCCTTTGTGGAAATGTATTTGGTTTTTAAAGACATATTGTTTTCTTATTATAAACATATTGATTTTCCTAAATTTGCAATGTATTTTGTAATAGTATTTATGGCAGTTCTTCACTTCATTGTGAGTGACATGACATTTATTATTATTAACATAGCAATGCATTTTAGATGACATGGGTACATTTTTTGCAATATACTTACGAACCAGAATTTTTAAATTCCTGTCACACGTGCAAGTTGTTTGATAGGGATTCTGCTTGGCTCTCGATCACGATATACAGCACTAGGTTTGGTTACACCTTCAGAAGCAAGAAACTGAGCRTATCGAGACCTTATACATTCTYTGTTTAATATAGTACCTTTAATATTTACATCAACAGACAACTGAGCAGCTTTTTCAAATAAATTACAATCATTTTCTATCGACGTAAGSAGATTGTTTATGGACAGTAAGCTAAAATATATAGTATAACTCAGAGACAAAAGTGCGACTAACAACACATTAAATATTAAAGCATTATTCACAAAACTACATTCCAATACATAAAGCATCGCTATTGTGAAAAATAAACTTATCGCTGTAAGCGTAGAGCTGATTGTGCAGGTCTTATTCTTCTTAAACAGCAGAAAATCCAATATGTTGTCCTTGTTCTTTTTGACGTAATTATTGGCTGAATTACTGCAGTGTTTGTTCTGGTTATAATCACTGTTGACTGAAGAGTTAGTATTTTCCCAGTATTTCTGAGTATTCTTTGAGTTGATTTGAGTTTGCTTAGAGTTCATTCTAGTTTCATAGCGAAGTTCGCGGAACGACTCGTTTCGAAACTGACGCTCATAGACATCTTTTAGTGTGAGTCTACCGCGAACGGTGTGTGCATTTGTGAGCAATNTGATTTGCAGGGAAAACTCTCCAGTATTCAAATTTATTCAAGCGTTCCAGAAATACAACTGATAGCGGGGAAAACTCTCCAGTATTCAAATTTATTCAAGCGTTCCAAAAAAACACTGATGGCAGGGAAAACTCTCTAGTTGACGTCTTTAGATTAAAACTATGGGAAAGTCTTGGTACGAAGCTCTACGTGCGTGGTAAGCTCCAGATATTCATAGCCGTATTAAATGAGACTATTTGATGTGCTCGTTGCGTCCAATATAAGCTGAACGTAATGTAATTCTTACTTTTTAGGATAACGCTGAATTACGAGTTGAAATCCGACAGTTATACTAAATGCAACGACCTTCACGAACATGCAAATGCTGAAAAGGAAAACCTTGGATGCTTGGAGACAATTTCGCAAAATCTCTTAAGTAGAGCAATTGCCGAAATTTTTCCTGGGGTAAAGAAATGTAGGCTTCGAAGAGAGGGATCTAAGCCCTGGGTATTTTTTGGACTGTCCTTGAAATGTAACGATTCCAGGATATCTCGCGAGCCCGAAAGGATGGAGTGTGATCAAGAGTGGGAGCTATTGCTAACTTCGAAGGCACAGGAAATTGTTGCTCAGAATCCCAACTGGTCATTTAAATGCCTGGACAACAACACGCTCAGTTTTATACACGTTGAGGATGTAAGGTTTGAAAGGCAATTATGTGTTTGCGAAATCGTTCTCAAGATAAATGACACTCGAAGTCTAGTTGAATTTTGTATTCTCTACCATGAAAGAGAAGTGCCCAAGAACACAATTCAAGGTATATTAACACCCCTACAGTACGCCACGATTACTGAAAGAGTTATCAACTTGATGACTATAATGGAGAATAGTTACACGTGCCAGGGGTTCGAAATGAACCATGATGAAATCTTGTATGGAGTTCCCCTAAAAAAGGTTAAGATTACCTCATTCTGTGAAGACGATGTTCCAGAACAACTACCAAGAGCCTTTTCCCCAACGTGCCGTGTGCTCGCAAACTCAGGAGGCATCCTGTGCGACAGCTGCGTAATTACAAAAAGCCACTTAAAAAGGAAACAATCACGAAAGAACGATAGAATAAGTACAGGCGGAGGAACTGCTAACAAAACCAACCATAGGTGAGTCAGATTTACATCACAGACATCAACTGTGACATCTTAGATAACGTATGTTTTTATTCTGAATATTTATACCAGAAATAAAAAAGGGTCACTAGTTATATTGTCTCCCACTTTCATCCCAAATAATGAAGGTTTATCAAACTTCAAGGAAAAACCCCATCCCCCTATATATAGATATATGCAGATTATTGAGTAAAATGTGGAACATCAAATGCATATTAAATTCTCTCTTCTCAACACCATTCAGATTTAATAGAACCTTTTTTTTTTTTTGCTTTCAGATATATGTCCAGAGAACAACTTCACAAAAAAATTCAGATACAAAAAAATCAAATAAAAAAGGAAAAAAAACGAGAAAGATTTGAGAATGCATTGCTGGATATGACGGAGGAAGATCACAATGACCTAAAATCAATGATGGACAATGTGAAAAATAAAGACATACCAGAAAATATGAAACTCCTATGGGAACAGCAAGCAACAATCATGTCAACAGCCTCAAAGACACAATACAGATGGCATCCAAGATACATAATTTGATAGAATGATAAGAAAAATATAACAAATAAATTAAATGCATTGTATAAATTGTGTGTATTACGTATTTGTTAGTGTACATGCAGTCATGTAGGTCACTTTGACTAAAGTGGGTAATTTTTAAAAGCTCAGATCATTGATTAATACTCAGCTTCCATTTCAACAGTATCATGAAAATGTGCATAGAACTGTACAGTAAAAACCCTCATGTTCTTGATCCTATAAGGAAAGTTTTGCTTCTTCCCAGCAACCGCACAATACGGTGAGTTAATTAAAAGCACATAAAAATTAATAGTAGGTGAATGGAAAAAAAATAACTGTATCATTCAAGAAAATATCAGTTTGAATAATTAAATAAATAACTTAATAATAATTTAATAATATAGTTTTAATAATTCTTTTTTTATCTCTTTGATCAGATGTTACAAAAACAAAGTGGATCAGGCACCTGGTTGGAATGACAACCTACTTCAATGGTGTTTGGAGGAAGCCAAGAAAGCAAATCTAAGAAAAGAAGACTACTGGGGTGCATTTGTTCTTGACGAAATGAAAATCCAGGTATATTCATCGATGGCCAGCAAAAAAAATTTAAAATGAGATGAACCAAAATTGAACCAAAATTGACCCCATGTACATTAACTTACATACGCCTTTTTGCAACAAATAAAGGAAGATATACAGATGGTCATTAAAGGTGGCAAACACAGGCTTGTGGGGTTTGTAGACCCTGGAAAAGTGCATGATGATATGGAAGTGCTGTCTGGTAGGTTTTACGTAATGTACTTATAAATTATAATCACGTGTCTTAAGAGTGTGTCCACGAGAAAACCAGGCAGTGGGTGCTACATGGAGGTCAGCCGATTCTCCTGAAACTTGGCACACTTATTGCATTTAGTAAGTTATTTGACATTCTATATTTTTTTGAGATCGGTCAAAAGGGGGGGGAAGTTAGGTTCCCCCCTGGAAAATGGCCATTTTTAGCACAAAAATTGCACAAATTAACCTCAACTTTGCAGAAGCATAAAAGTGTAACGGTTATTCACAGCARCCTCAAACTTCTTKACATACAAGATATACATCTCAGTTACTGATATCAGGTATACAGATGGAAACATCTGTCAATCCGTTGCCATAGYAACCACATGACTGAACACAAAAATTTCCAATTTTGAATTTATTGAAAATTTGTGTAGTTTTGGAGCCAATATTTTGAAAATGCACATCGATTTTTTWAAAAATGACTGTTTCCCAATTAGATCTATGTCTCTAGTTATCAAAACATTAAAAACATTGGTGGGCACTCATTAATCTTAAAAGATATGACGTATGTAGTTCACCCTATTTCGAAAATATCACAAAATTCAATGGAATTAACCCATACAAAATACCAGTTAGACTCCTTTAAACAGACTCTAATTGACTTCATTTAAACTATAAGAATCTATTTTCGTGTTTTGATGTAAAATATTTTCATTGGGAGGCGAATTTGAATTTAAGCAGATAATTTTGTTAAGACTAGTATATGCAAATCTAGTTTTTTTTTTACCAATCGTGTCAAAGATTGAACATCGTGTTCTAAACTGGATAAATCGACGAGGTAACCTGAAAATAGGAAAGAAGAGATAGAGATTTGATTTAACACGAACAAAAAAGGTGAAATTTGCATATAGTGTAAAKATYCGGTCCGTTATACGCCTTTGCATCAGTAAGTGTTCGATCATTAGTCGAAATCACTCACCATGCTCTAAATCTCGACTTCGATAACTTCTTGTACATACTTTGTGTTCTTTTCAAGTCGCAATAGCTGTAGAGACCGACATTTTACTTGATTGCAGCAAATAATTATAAATAATTGCGATTTACGTCGAAGCCAAAATGTCTTGACATTTACAACCTAGTTGGAATGCGTGACAACCTACACAGGAAGCCTATAAATCAGGGGTCCCGCAAAAGAAGCTATAATTAAAAACCGCTGAGGTGTCTATATTTTATATTGATTTACTATCAATTTATAATTTATTTACATCTTTATTATTCAAAAAACACATATTTACATGAGTGCTAAATTTAAAACATGAGACGCAAATACGGTACGTGAACACCAACGTGCTCAGTTTTGCTATAAATAATATACAAGCTAGGTAAGGCTCACACAGTTGACTCGATAGAATAGATTTTGTTGGATAATTTATCTTTTTGACTGACTTATATACATATACACGTTCATTATATAAGTGCGATACAAACTCATTGCATATTAAGTAAACATGCGTGCAAAGATTTGAATTATAAAGGAGTAAACGCGAAGTATTTTCATCATTTTTAATCTTTCTCATCATTGCATATTGTATTGAGAAGTAATTAACATTCGTTATTTTTTTTCGGACCGATATCCTAGTCGTTCGCTCGCTATGATTGGCTAGCGCGCGGTCTGGTAATTCACGATCTGCCTATTCCAGAACTGGACCCTCCTTTATCCTTGCGCCGCAGAGAAACTATTATTTAAATAACCTTTTATTTGAATCAACGTTCTCAACTTTCTTGAGCGCTCGCTTTGGATTTTTAACTTTTACTTTAAGTATDATRTTATAGTAATTGAGAAAAGAGGGTCCAGTTCTGTACTACAATAAATCTGCCCGGTGTTTTTAATTTGTGAGTGTTTTTAATTAGTCCACTGTTGATTAGTAACTAATAGATGGATTTGGGGCAAAAAATATAATTATACATGTACTGCGGTTTTGTTTCCAAAAAAAGGTAATTGCACACAATTTATTTTCTTTGACGATCTGATTAGAAATAAAATATTGCTGGAGCAATGGCGTTTAGGTGAAGCCAAAATATAACAACAGTACAAAAAATTAACACTCATGTAAATAGGAGTTTTTGTTTAAATAATAAAGATATAAATGAATTGTACCACAAAATGGAAAACAACTCTATTTAATTTCAACACGATATTAAATCAATATAAAATATAGACACCTCAGCGGTTTTTAATTATAGCTTCTTTTGCGGGACCCCTGATTTATAGGCTTCCTGTGTAGGTTGTCACGCATTCCAACTAGGTTGTAAATGTCAAGACATTTTGGCTTCGACGTAAATCGCAATTATTTGCTGAAATCAAGTAAAATGTCGGTCTCTACAGCTATTGCGACTTGAAAAGAACACAAAGTATGTACAAGAAGTTATCGAAGTCGAGATTTAGAGCATGGTGAGTGATTTCGACTAATGATCGAACACTTACTGATGCAAAGGCGTATAACGGACCGAATCTTTACACNCAGCTGATAGACTTGTTTCACTCTAAAGTTCCAATAACATCCAAACTCGACCATCGCATATCCCAGCTAAGTTCTTTCCTTGAGTACCTAGGAAAATGGAAAACAGCTACTCAAGATCAATCTAATCATTTTTTATCTGATAAGCTATTCTTTGATCTCCAGTCAATTGCACTTGGATACCAATCAATTGTATGCACCAAATTTAAGTTTTTCAAAAATGCAGTCCTCAAGCATGCCATCGCCAATCAAGATGTGGTTGAGAATCACTTTTGCCAGGTGAGAGCCTGCAATGGCCAAAATAATAACCCTACCTGGAGGCTTCAAGAGACAGCCCAGAACACCATCAGATATGGCCAGACAACTATAAGCCGTAAGAGCAATGCTGGCAAAGAAGGTCTCTCTAAAAAAAATTAAAAAATTAAATTTTAGGATTAGAGCATAGCAAATGTATAATAATAGATTAAGAGTACTGTACTGTGCCAGATATCATAATGTTTTGTGGATTAATAAATGCATGCATGTAGTCTCAAGGTTATGCAAGTCATCAGCTGCTATTATAATAATTACAATTAATGTATAACAATGTTCAACCAAAATATCACAATTAATCATCATCATGATTTTTGTATCAAGTTGATATAGGAGCATATATATATGACAAGAATTTACATATTATAATGATATTATAATGTTTATTAGTAATTATACAAATATGCAATTCCTGTAATATGAAGGTAAAGGTTATAAACAATCTTACCTTTTAGTTATTAAATCTAACGTAAACAACGGCGAGAGATTCTGATGGAGACCCTACGGTTTGCTTCATCTATTTCAACTTCTGACTCAAGGTTATTCAGAAAGTACGAGTGAGCCATACCAGTGTTACTTTCTTTCATGATAGGGACAAGTTGCAGACCTATCTTGGGTTTGGTTAACCTTTTGTTTATGTTCACAATCCCATAAGCCGAGCACAACTTAATTAGCTGCTCCTTTGTCATAGTCTTGACAAAGGCACTGACACCATACTTTTCAATAAAGACGAGCATTCGGTGGTGAGTGCTGATTTTATTCTCAGATGTGTCAATGGCAATGTCCTGAAAAGGAACAGAAGCCTTTTTCTCTTCTAAGCGTTGCTTTTTCTGTAGAACATTCTTGCGATGTTCAGCACTTTTCTTTAGCCTATATAAATGCCAATAATTATGTAAACAATATAGTTATGTTTAATATATATTTCTATTAATCGTAATTTTGGTTAGAAATCAATTACAAGTATAAACTGAGTTATATGTTCATGAGAGACTCTCATAATTAAAGAAAAAATTATTTCTATTATTAAAGAATTATTATATTTAGTAAATGATTTGTTTATATATAAATTCATCCTATTTTAATTATATAAGTAAGAGCATATAACTTCAGCTTATGATGTATTTAAGGGGGTTATATAGTCATGAACAAATAACTCAAATTTACACAATTAGTCAATTTGGGTCAATTCACTGTATGCAGTATACATACCTATGCGCAAGCCTGTAATCTCTCAGAAACTGGCCAGTACCTGCCCTTATATACCTAAGTACAATAAGGGAGTAGATGTCTTTGACAATTACCTGGTTGGGAATACAAAAGTGTTCATAAAATTAAGTAGTTAAACATGCATAAAGTGTAATTAAACTTGAAGTTTTATTCCCAATTTTCAGTGTTTTTGTTGATTATACAAATCATGATGTACATCAGTATTCCATTATTTGTTTAGACATGTAGTTTTATAGTGTGCAATAGGCAATTGAATTGCAAATAGTGAAACGTTATTATAAAAGGATAAAGAAAGTGTGGCAATTACAATATATTATGAGCATGGCATGATTTCCACTATAGTTTAGATGATGATCATGTCAATTAATTACCTTGTCAATGTTACTAGGGAAGCATGTTTGCCATTTCTCAATAAGACTATCATTTTTCAACACTTCTGCCAGAGCATGATCAACAAGCTTTTCCTTGAACATTCTCAGTCGAGCATTGTTCAAAACGTTGATACGGAAATTTTCTAGATCCAGAAAAAACTCATAGACACAGTCTTCCACATGAATAAGTCCTCTGGAAAGATATTGTCGATTCTCTGTTAGAGAATGAGTTTTTGGGTACTTGCTTGATTTTTGTAGCATTGCTATGTTAGCAACAGCAAACTCTTGCAGGAGGTTAGACATTTCCAGACATTTAGCCACCGTCTCCTTAGTTTTCTTGATTTTAGACACCAAATTGACTTTAACATAATTCAGCTTTTCATGTAGAACCTTGGCAACACACCACCCTGCCATGTATCTGATTTTGCCTAGCCCCTCTACTTGCATTTCTTTGGCATTCATTATCAAATCTGACTCATACTCGTTCTTTCTCACTCTGTCAGCAATAGCGCCAATTACTTCCTGGTAGACTTTCTGTGTCAAATCAGCAGCAACTGACCTTTGTATCAAATTCAGATCATTGACACCAAACAGCATTTTA